TATAATCCTATATCTTATTTAATATTTAATATTCTAAGGTTTAACCACTGATTATTAGTTTTGTGAAGGAAAGCAGACCATTCATTCGTTTCATTTTTCGAATTATTACAACAGGGTTTAATTACAGTTGAACGTAAACTTTCAATAACGTTGAGAAGCAGTACCAAAATTATCTACCTAAATCCGCCTCTGCTCACCAAGGTGCAACCCGTTGCAAAAACAGTCAGAAATTGTCCAAAAATTCTAAACGTGATCAAGTCATTGTGTGCGCACACCCGCCACAATGGGACACAATGGCCATCCTTAGCCACTCTTTATTCGCAACAATACCACTTTTACCAACAATAGAAACTCATTCAGTTCCACACAGATCAATGTCAATTCCAAAAATCGATCAATTTTCAACTTTTAACTTTACAACATAGATTACAGTTTTATTTCTCACATTGGAGTCTTTTGCGACATTTTCTGCTTGCCGTATATCCATCGCGTGTTTGCTATAGTTGTCATTGTTACCTACACCTATTGTCGCATTGTTCGCGATCTATTGAATGCGATCAATGAGAAACATTTTAATATTACTAAATTATAAACGTCTTCCGTGATTTCTACGAGCAAGATGGCAATGGAGACGCCTACGCTAAATTGTTTTTCTTCCTAAAATAATTATAGATATGCGTTTCGTTTGTTTTCTCTGTAACTTTGACTCAACCTTCGAGATTTTATTTTAAATTTTGCACTCGTTTTTATTTCCCTTGATAGAAGCAGTGCCGAGATTATACATCATATAATTATGTAACCTACTACTTTGACAGGTTTCCCTAGATATCTAAGTTATACGCGTTCTAATGATATTCTCATAATTTGAATTATACACGTGGATGTGTTCGACAGAAGTCAAGTTTGTTTTAAATAAACTTGTCTACAGTCGACTCCATGTCCTTCCCTATCCACCCACGCAAACAATTTATTGCAATTCGACCCTGTCCCCACATGCATTCATACATCACCGGTTCACACAAACACTGTCCCTGCACGACACATCCGGGCCCATACAAAACCATACACCTCATACAATGTCTTTGCATCACCTTTATTCTGTTTCATCACTTTGTTATATTTGTAATTGTTCCTCTCATTTTCTTTTGTTACACTATCTTCAACGCAACCATCTTTAGTATAAGAATTACATTTAACTGTTTGCTTCCTCTCATAATCATCATCCGGTCAATATTTCCACTGATTGCACAATTGAGCCACCCGCCGGAAGTTAAGTGGTCGAATTAAATTTGTTTGTGTCCACATAATATAGAAATTCTTTGAATTAGCTCGCATACTTGACAGATGTCTCAACACAAAGTGTGGCATGCAAGGTGTCTAAGGCTTCTGTTAAATCCAAGAATTATTTGGAATACCTCTGGCTGTAAATTCATTTCATTTATTACTGTTATTATTTTTATGGTATTGTAGATCAGGGGTACAACCACAAAGTACCTAATTTAGACTCGCAGTCGGGTATCGCAGATTTCATATGCTTTCCAATTTAAAAAAATCGAGAATTTGTTTTATAATGAATGAGTATGTAACTTATTATTTGCAACTAGCCAGACCATAAAGAAGTACAAACTACGTTAAAAATTTTGATATTTGAAAAAAACTATCCACAATCTTGATACTAGAATTTGAAGCAAAACTTGAAAATATAAGTGATATTTTTTAAGAACATGTTAGCTAAAAATTATTAAAACATTTTGAACGTACTGTAAAACAATAGCTAGCAAAGCCATTTTTAAACTGAAGGAAAGTTTTGTAACTTAGGGAAAACACACATAAAACTTCAGAACTTTCTTTTCATTCAAATTTATATTTTCAGCTACAAGTTTTTCTTTCAGAAATTAATCTCAAAATTAACGTTTTTTACTTGAAAATGCCATTTCTTGTGGGCTTACTTCGTTTTACTAGGCTTCAATTGAAACAAACAGGAAAGAACTTGAAGTTTTACTCACCAACAAAAAAAAGTTAAACAACATGTTTATATGTATATGATTGATTGTTATTATGCGAATCACCTTAAAATAATTAAAAAATCCCTCTAATTAAGTTTAATTAAGTAAGTTCATTGGAATACACACTTTACTGTAGAAAGTAATGACACGTTTATTAACCAGTTACATAGGAGGCTCTTATATTGATGATAATATGAAGCATCTATATCGTAAAATGATGACAAAAAATATTAAAAGGAACCATTCTAGCTAGCTAACTGGTCATTCTTTGACAAATTACCAAGTATACAGCTGGTTACCGGTATTCTTTCATTTTAAGTCACAGAGCTACCGCAGTAGTCCCAAAACCAAAAGGAACTACTTATTCTCTTTATCTAAATCCTGAAGTTATTTAAGCCTTCCTCTCCATAGTAAGCGGTGTATTTGAGCCACTGGGGATTTCGTTAAAACGTCCCTTATCTGAATTTCATTCACAAATATTTACAAATGCGGATTTAATTTGTGACAATGCATGAGACCGTTGCGCGGTTCATTCATGTCCTTGCATTCAGTTTCATTCATGTTTGTCCTGGGTCTAAGTGTTACGTTCCTGTAATCCTGGTATTGTCCAGTTTGTAGATTCATTCATTGAAACTCGTATTTGGAAGAGACTATCTCTGTTTGAGATCTAATCTCGAATATCGTATGATTTTGAGAAGACTGCAGTCGTGGGACTAGTAAACAAAGATCTGTTGCCATTTTAGTTTTCATGCTTTGTTGATTTCCGCGGGGTTGTCGTCCAATAGCGTCACAAAATGTTTTGTCACTTTTTATTTGTTAAGAAACTCTAGATACATTTTTCATTAGAATTTGAACGCTTATTCCAAAATGCAAGTCCTCCAACACCTATAATTTTTGGTTACAAATTTTAGCATAGTAAATCTATTCACTAAGAAATTATAACAATTCCACAAAAACGATATAACTGGCCGCATTTGTATCCAGTAAAATATAAAATCAATGGTTTCCAAAAGATATGCACTTTATTCATTAAAATCAAATCTCTTTTCAAGTTTAGCTTTTCGGAGAATTCAATTTGAAGTACGTTCAATTCAGTTGCAGTTTTACTCAAAACATCATCGGCTACCATTCGTTTGTCTGCAGCATCAGACATAGCGGCACCAGGCTTATCCTTATTGTTATCTAAAGTTTCATTAACATCCTCTGTAATAGTTTTTTCATTGGAAACCTTTATACATTTGTGTACGTTGAAGTGTAAACTTCTTATTGTATTCAAAGTCGGATTAAGGAAGTTCGTTTGGATTGATTTTTTTGTAGTTTCACTTTGAGTTACCGATGTGCTTGAAAGAGAATAATCGAATGCTGTGAATTGACTGGAAACGGTACTTAATAAATAAATGGCTGAAAAATAAAATAAAAGTACTGCAATACTTTCTAAAGATGAAACATGGAAATGCTGTTGGTCGATATATTTTAAGTCATTGCCTGCCGACAGATTGCTCCCAGGTCATTCTACGCGTTAAACTGTATAAGTTTAACGCGTAGAATGAAAGTAAAATAAAATGTTCATAGAAGGGAGAAACGACGGAATTAGTGAGACTAAAATAAAACTTTCTTCTTTTCACAATCACGAATGTATCAGGAGGAGTATAAATCGAATCAAATTTAAATGAATATCCAGGATCGAAAAAACAGAAAAAAACTAACAAAGCCGACATTGACAACAAGCTTATCCGCATCCAATATACACTACCATTTTGTGTGACGTCATTCAAAATTACCCAACCGTGATCATCTAGTCGAGTGACAAAATTAATTGGTTAAAGCCACAATAAAGTGCGTTACACACGATGAGAACACAATGTGGCTATTGAAACCCGGATTAGTTGGTACCCGCTGCGGACAATTTTTCGCTTGTGAGAACACAGCTTTTGAGTAGTAGCTGCGGCAAACATGTCATATAACAATATGAACACTTATTAAAATTAGATTATTTTGGTGATTATTCTGATAAGAATATTTTGTTTCTAACTGGAATTATCACTGGACCAATTAAAAGTCTGCTGCAATAAAATTCTCTGTGTAAATCATTTAGACATCGGTCAAAATTATTAAAACATTAGTTATAGTTAGTTATAAGTAAATTAGACTGCTTAACAATCTAGTGTCCATATCATGTCACCTAACCAATGAAGTTATGTAGACAATAATATCAGTGATACCACGGCCTCACAGAAAACCAACGGGGAAACAATGCTTGTGTTGAGTTCGCCGTGTTCTTTCTCTTTATCACGGTTGCTTAAGGCGGATTAGCGATTTCAAACTTATAATACGAATTATAAATCCAGGTTTCCTCACTATATTCTCTTTCACCACATGACAGTGGTGTAAATAGTCTTAGAAAGTGCAACTCGCCAAAAGTCACATTGGTACTTGCCAACTTAACGTCAAGACTACCACGACGTCATGTTATCCTTTTACCATTTATTTCAATATGTAAGTATATCATTTTTTTCAATAGCACCTAGCTTCGCTGACAAACAGACTGACAGACTACTAGGTATCTACTCTATTTGACTTTTTAAAAGTATCTTTTTGTGGTTTAGCTGTAATAAATGATTTTGACTTTGACTTTAATTTTAACTATCTATCTAGAGACACCAAAACTATTGTATCTCTCAGAATAGTTCATAGTAATATGATGATATCTATGAACTATTCTGAGAGATACAATAATTTGATAATTGAGAGCTTTTCTCGGTAACCTAATTCTCGTCAGTGAATAGCTATTTTCAAAAATAGCTGCTACCTTTAAGTAGCATGCTTTACTAAAAGAAACAAACAACAGAGGCGTTGCTAAACATATTTATTATCTATCATTCAGAGGAAATGATAAGTTTTGCGAGTCATAATATTAACGTCGTTTTGGTCCCCAACACTTAATTGCTGTCCATAATAAAGTTGCTCAATATCAAAAATTCTACTTAAAACTCCTTATGCGACTATGGGAGAAGACATTAATGTATTCATCACTCCACAAGAGTGATAATTATCTCCACGTGGAAACTTGATGTAGCCATCTTCACCAAAAGTTGTACTCCACGAATTCTTGGCCAACCAGTATGGTTTTCCATTTTCTGCAATAAGTCATAGTTAGTTGTTACCAGTTTTTCAAATTGTTTTGTTCCATAAATAAGTTACAATCAATAATCAAATTAAAAAAGAAAACCGATCTATTGCTTGGTCACGTAAAGAACATCGAACACCATCCATAGAGGCGATCGTATCTCTACTTAATAAAATAAAGGATACAAAACAGCAAAAAGGTGGAACAACCCCTATCCCCAAAAGGCTGGCAACGCACTCGTAACTCCTTTGGTGTTGAGGGTGTCCATGGGCGGCGCCGATTGCTTACCATCAGGTAATCCGTCTGCTCGTTTGCCGACTTATACCATAAAAAAAACAAAACATTTTAGTATAGGAAAGCCATGCTTCGACACGAATGAATCGGCTCGACCCGAGTGATACCATGGCTTCACAGAAAACCAGCGTAAAATAACCACAGCGTTGTGTTTCACCGTATGAGTTAGGCTACCAATCCCAAAATCTCCACGGGCCAAAGGATCCATGGGCGACGTTGATTGCTTACCATCAGATAATCCAATACGTCAAAAACTGACCACTATCCCGTACTAATTTTATTTACTGTTCATATCAAATACCATTAACACTGCTTACCTGTTCCATATCCCACCAGAAGAATAGCATGGTTAATTCTACCACCTTTGCATAAGTGATCTTCTATCACACCACCATGATATGTATGGAAACCTGACGCTTCCACGGCTACAAAAAGAAGCAACATGTTGAAATAAATAACACTTAACAATGAATTTATGTCGAATTTGGGGTAACGGCGATAGGTATCCAACTCGCCGATGCGGCTTACGATTGAGAATGCCTGCCTTAAGCATCTTATTAATGTATACGATCTTGCTAGCTAACACAGACTCCGGGAAGTAAAGAACAAGGAGTTCCACTTCTTAGCGAACCACTAAGAAGTGGAACTGTGTGTGTGCTAAGAAGTGGCATTAAGAAAATAGTAGCGTTATTCTTCACGCGGATGAGTGGAATATCTAGATACCATACAGAGCGCTCTGCCGTTAGTTAACTGATAAGATAGTGAAACGCGGTAGAGGGAAATAAATTGATCAATTCTCCCGCACAGACTATAAAATTTATCTGATAAAAGATCGAAAAGCGATCGTCCTGGAAGATATAGTGTCTTTCATCAAATAATCTATATTTGCTGAAAGACAAATTTAAATTAGCAACTAATTATTTGTTGTGATCTGTTTCTATCTCTCTCTATTCTTTCTATAGTTTCTATCGCTAAATAGAGTACTTAATGACTACAGTACTTAATGACTACAATAGGGTTACAATTTGTAATTAGCATGTAGAGTCATCACAGCAATATAAAAATTTACCAATAGATATTGGTCCAACGGTGGCAACTATTTCCTTAAGCCTTTCCTGGGAGTCGACATAGTATTTGTTGCAGCCAGTCAGTCTGACAGCTGCCTTACTAGCTTGGAATTGGCAAGACTGAACCTGAGCCACATAAGGATAGTCAGCTTCTGACTCCAGGCCACCTAAGTCAATCATGGCGCTACAACATTTAAAATTATGTAATTATAAATAGTTAAAATTTGTCTATAATCTCAAAATCAGGGATTGATAGTTCCAAATAAAGGACGGCGAAAAAAGTATTGAAGATTGATAAAAGTCAAAGTCTTATACATATCTTGACCTTTAGTTAAAACGAAACAAAAATACCGTTGTATCGCATATTACCTGAACACATCCGTCATTAGACCACCCCCACAGCCATGGGATACTTTGTCACAATCTAATGTTTGTTGTTCAGAAAATTCTACTAGTTGACCATGTTTGATGGCATATTGGCTCTCAACGGCTCCTGTAACATTTAGACATCATCATTGATGCCACTAGCAGGGACTTCAGTTTGCTTCGTATAACCGCCACCGCAGCGTGTGCGCATCGTAGCGCAGGCTTACTGCTTGGTGTAGTACGGTATCTTATCCTCCACTCTAAGTGTGGGAGAGCCATGCTTCGGCACGAATGGGTCTCATATCCTAGATACCACGGCCTCACAGAAGATCGGCGTGAAACAACCACAGCGTTGTGTTTCGCCGTGTGAGTGAGGTTACCGGAGGCCAAATCCTTCCCCGCCCCCAATCCCTCCTCAATCCCTAAATCTCCAAATCACTAATCCCTAAAAGGTCGGCAACGCACTCGTAACTCTCTGGGTGTCCATGGGCGGCGCTGATTGCTTACCATCAGGTAATCCTTATGTTCGTTTGCCGATCAATTATATAAAAAAAAACTCTTCCATATTCGTTGGCCCTATCTCTAATAAATTGCCTACCCCCATAAGCAGGTGATCTCTCACAATCCGCTAAATAGATTCGCTCATGCTATCATTGAATCAGCTTATGGACCTTAAGAAAATTCTTTCTCAAATTCAGGTTATGATTATTTGCAACAACCTATAGGACATAGCTAAAAGACCTGAGAATGGTTATAGATACCTTGTCATGGAATCATCAACATTATGAAGTCAGTTGAAAAATGATTGCTAGCTATCTAAATATGTTTGAGTAACAAATTCAAAAACTTGAGTGACTTAACTTAAAATTTATCGTATTTGACTTTAGTTTATGAATGATCACGCCTCGGAATGTTGCACCAAGCTCACCTCTCCATCCAATAGTTGTGAGGAAGAGATTGCAGAATGGTAATTCGAATATGTTAAGTTTTGTTCAATGGAAATGTATATATTCACTATGTAACAATAGTTAATGTTTATAAAACCGGAAAAGAGAATATAAGTGATATGATTGACTCTTGGGTCGTGGCTAATAGAATCTCTCACCTAGAAAGGCCCTACACTCTTAACTCTCAAAAGTCTTCATTTTACTAACCAGTTGCACTGAATGCATAGCAGCTTCCACATTTACCCTGGTCCTTAACTCTAGTAACTACGTTATGTTGACGCCAATCAAATGAGTCCGGTACATTCACTTTAGGGAGATCCGCACCAACCACTAAATTACATTTTGCAGTGATATTAAAATTTGCGTTTAGTCCAGTATAGCGGCTGACAAATTCATCTTCAGTGAGATCCATGAACTGAGTAATACCTGAAATTGTTATTATAGTTAACAATACATAACATTTTTGTTTACATGTCAGAGAGTAATTGAAGACTACGTACCAAATCTAGCATGTTCGCTTTGCGCATTGAAAGAGTTTGCCTTTTCCAAATTTTGTTTGAAAATTGCAAACCTGGCTTGCTTCTCTTCCTCGCTTGTGTATTGTTTGTTGAAGTCTTGGATGAAGCTCTCGAAATGTTCCTCGGCTTCTTCGAGGTGAAATATTGGCACTGACGCTGCCTGCGCACACGCCGCCAAACAAGTGCAGAAGATTATTACAAAGGGTGACATTGACACAAACTAGCAATCACAATTCTGTGTTTCCCCAAGAAAGCCAAGCCTTATGTATGCATTTATAATACAACTATCGGTCGCCTGCGGCTCCGCCCGCGTGGATGTCGATTACTGCTTCAAAAAGCCTACCCAGGAAAGACTGCACGGTCAGCGAAATGCTGCCCAGGTTGATTTGGAACTAATTTTGCCATATTGTCATTTACCAACGCTGTTAGATCATTTCTGTTATACTGTTGTATCATTGTGTCAATGGTATTATTCTAGGTACAAATGTGGGAAGGTAATCCAAATACACTAAAATTTTTAACCAAGCCGGTTAACAATGAGGAGGGTTCTCGACCGTATACTTTTTTTATGTTTCTTTGCCGATATCTTATCTCCGTTATTTTATAAGCAGATTTTGATGATTCTTTTTATGTTAGAGAGGGAATAGTCCCAGAATGGTCCTTTGATAAGGAAATCTGATGATGAAAGAGTAGAGGAATCGAGGGACTCTTTCAAAAATTGTAGGGACGAGTAGTGCTTTTGCATGTTGTTTTATTTTATTACAACATTGCATCTTGCCGATGGTCGAACTCAACCTAATGATGGAGACGGAAGACAGTCGAGGGATTTTTTTAACTATTTACAGCACAACACTAACTCAGGGCTACCATTACTATGATTTCTGTCTCAAGATGGAGTTTCTTGCTCGAACGAGCAAGAAACTCCATCTTGAGACAGAAATCTCTTCTCCATTCGAATCTACAATTTGGAATGAGCACCTAGCTTCACTGACGAACAGACTGACAGACTACTTCTCTATTTTGACGTTTCAAAACTACCTATTTATGGTTTAGTTGGAATAAATGATTTTGACTTTGACTTTGAAGAAGCCGTCGTCTTTTCATTCAAAAAGCATTATTCTTGTTTGCTCTAATTATCACTTAAAATGGACGTCCGCCCATTACTTAGTGATGAAATATATTATTTTGATAAGGGTTAATATAATGAGTAAAATAAATGCGTAATGGAAGCAGACTAAAAAAATTCGAGATTTTTAAATAAAAAAATGGTTGTTGTGCCTTACCCGACATAGATAGGTATAGTGTGGATACTTTTTTGTAGATATGATCTACAATTAATTAGTTTAGGCAGCGCAAGCAAGATAAGTAGTTTTCTGATTAATTTTTTACATCTTGTGTCCGAAAAACTCAAATATTTTTACCCAAAATTAAGGCTTATGTTACTCTTGAATAATGAAGCTTTCGAATGGTGAAAGATTTTTTTGAATCGTTTCAGTAGATTTTAAGCCTATTCATTACAACCAAACAAACAAAGTTTACCTCTTTATAATATTAGTATAGATAAGTAATCGATAAATATTTCTTAAGAATGAACATAATTTTTTAATGGAAGTAATATTTTTTACTGAATATTTCTAATTCCTAGATTGTTTTTTGTACGTGTTATCATAACGAGGTTATAATTATGTTCGTAGATTTATAACTACACGTGCGACACAATGAAATTATCTTTGTCACGTTCTCACTATGTACTGGATAGTTTTGAAACATTAAGGTCCCATCTGGTTTCCAAATGGGGATGGTAAAAATCTTCGTGGATCTTAGAAATGGAATATAATGAATGATCCGCTTACAGTGCTTTGGCTAGTTGTGCGATGACGTCAAAGATCTGATCTCTTCTCTCTACTTTTAGTCAGTGTCTTACTGACTAAAACCTACCCGATTCCTATTTCTACTCCGAGCTAGGCCGCGACACATTATTGCGCTTACTAAGACTACCGTACCCGACTAGAGAATATTTAAACATTTGCCTTTTTATCAACAAAATCTAATTTAAAACCTATGAAGTTAATCAAAATAAAACCTATTTTGATTCTTTGAAGATGCCTCTTTAAAATTAACGTTTTTTTAATGGACGGCAAACAAGCCGGGGTTGTGGGGTAAGCGAAATGAGGCACCGCGGCTTCGGCCCAGAGCTAGTGACGGAACGGGGTTTTTGTAGTCAGTAAGAGTCTAACTCCCTCCTGCCTGATCCTGGGTGGGAGAAGTCACTTGATTTTCCCCTCACAAATTAAAGAAATTAGTCCGCCAATGGACAACCGTAAAACGGAGGAGTTACTAGTGCATCGCCGATCTTTTGGTGATTAGGGGTTTGTACATAGTAACCTTACTCACACGGGAAAACACATCGATGGGGTTATATTCCAATCTTAACACCGCTATTTTTTTACAAATCAGTCGTTTATTTGATGTTCTAATATTCGAAATTAAATAAGATGAAATCAAAGTGTAGGTTTTCAGAGAACTCCTTCTTCCGGTTCTTTTTTCTAAGGGGGGGAGGGGGGGGGGTAATCAATGGTCTTCTCTTGCCCTGGATTGCGAGACACAGTGTCAGACTCTCTTACTGAATAAAAATCACTCCGTTCCTTCCTCTGTTCTAGACCGTATTACATACACAACCCCGGCTGAACAAGAAAAAACTGGAACTAAGCTCTGCAATTAAGTTTAAGAAGATAAGGGATAAAGAATTTACACCGCATAAATAACATATTTAATGTAACATGATAGGTAACTTGATCTGCTGTATGAGCAACATATGTTTTTGTGTGTTTGGTAACCTTAAGCTTATGAATACTGATAGCTCAGCTCAAAATTAGGGATAGTATACATATTAAAAAAAAATACTTATAAAACGTAACCTACCGAAAATACACTCAATAGTGTTTTGCCCCTTCCTAGAATCGAAACCGAAAACCTTTGCTTTGCAGCCGCAAAAATATTATAACCACCGGTAAGGCTATTTATATATTTTTCGCCGCTTGAGGTTTTCTGAAGCGGCAGCTGACGAACCAGTAGGTTCGTCAGCTCTCGTAACTTATAGATGAGAAGGAGAAGGATGTCGACGCAGGTTGTGTCCGAAATCAAAAAAATATCACCATCAATGTACAGACAAAAATGTAGATTTTATTTTTCAAATTTAAAGTGAAAGCATGTACAAAAGATAAGTTAGTATAATAAAAAAAATATTAAGAAATTCCAATTGTTTGGTGAAATTATTGAATTTAATGCAAATATTTTCGACTACAGAAATATTTGTCGAATACTTCATATTACAAACGCGTATAAAAGCCCTTACTAAAGAGAAAAAATTAGGACTGCTACTTTGTCACAATGTCTCCCTTTGTGATAGTCTTCTGCGTTTGTTTGGCGGCGTGTGCGCAGGCAGCGTCAGTGTCAATGTTTGACCTCGAAGCCGCCGAGGAACATTTCGAACGCTTCATCCAAGACTTCAATAAACAATACACTAGCGAGGAAGAGAAGCAAACTAGGTTTACAGTTTTCAAAGAAAACTTGAAAAGAGCAAATACTTTTAATGCGCAAAGCGAACATGCTAGTTTTGGTACGTAGATTGAAATAATTTCTTGACTTCTAAATAAAACATTGACTATGTTAACTGTACACAAAATTTCAGGTATTACCCAGTTCATGGACCTCACTGTGAAAGAATTTGTCAGCCGCTATACTGGACTAGACGCAAATTTGAATTTCACTGGACAATGTCAAGTAGTGACTGATGCGGATCTCCCTAATGTGAATGTACCGGACTCATTTGATTGGCGTGAAAAGAACGCGGTAACAAAAGTAAAAAATCAGGGTCAATGTGGGAGCTGTTATGCATTCAGTGCATCAGGTAAGTGAGATGTTCAGCCGGGGTTGGGTGCAAGTGAAATAATGTATCGTGATCCTGCCCTGAGACGGAAAAGGAAGGTAGTGCCCACCACGTTCTTTTTACCGTGTATCCGTGTCTAACTGACTTAAGTCAGTAAGAGGGATACTCCCTTAGGGCGGGAGATATCTTTGATGATATTTCACCACTCAAAAAAGTAGGATATAAACTGTTTTAAGTAAGACATTTCTAAAGGGATCCTTTGGATGATGACCCGAACCAATAATCAATTATGCTTTATATTCTAAACATCTATGTATATAGTTCCAAAATGTTACAGGAGCCGTCGAGGGCCAGTATGCTATCAAATATGGTAAGCTACAAGAATTTTCTGAACAGCAAACAGTAGATTGTGATGAGGATTCAATGGGCTGTGGGGGTGGTCTAATGACATCTGCATTCAGGTAACTGTATTCTATACCATTTACGCGTTTTTAACTGTAGTATTTTGCGAGTAATAAAAATAATTAGAGTATTTTTTTTGTGAACAATCTAGTAACTTATTTCTCAGTTCAAACTATTTGTCTTTTTAATGGGAACGGGCCAGCAAATGAGCAGGCTGATCGACTGATGACAAGAAATTGGCGCCACCATGGACACTTGTTACACGCACATTGCCTTAGGGAGTGAAATATTTTACGATTAGGGGAATTGAGGATGGGAGAGTGGGTGAAGTTCGGCCAAGCCAGCCCATTCCTGCCAAAACATTATTCTCATAAACTTACAATGCTTTGATTTGTTTGTCCGAGAAGACGGATTACCTGATGGTAAACAATCTGCACCGTTAAGGTTTGGAAAGAGATGAGTTTGGATATTATGAAAAACGACGCTGTGGTTGTTTTACGCCGGTTTTTTGTAAGGTCGTGGTATCACTCCTGTCGAGCCGACCCATTCGTGCTGAAGCTTGTCTCGTCCTCACTTAAAATATGTCATTTTTTAATTAATTGATATAATAAATACACTTTCATTTCGTAGTTCCATGATTGAAGAGGGTGGTTTGGAGTCAGAATCCGACTACCCTTATATTGCAAAATCACAGTCTTGCCAATTCCAAGCTAGCAAGGTAGCTGTCGAACTAACTGGATGTATTAACTACAATCTCAAGTCACAGGAAAAGCTTAAGCAACTAGTTGCCACCATTGGACCAATATCTATTGGTAAATTATAGAATATTTTTAATGATGTGGAGATTTCTGAACATATGTTTAGAACCTATTAGTACCTTTATTAAGAACTCAAGACCCTATGAAGCACAGACGGGGCCCTAAAGGGCTGATGTTCAGCCGGGGTGGCGGGGTAAGCGCAATGAGGCACCGCGACCTCGGCCCAGAGCAGGTGAAGGAACAGTTGGCCCTGCCCTGGGCGGGAGAAGTCATTTGATGATTTTCCCCTCACAAAAAAAAAGACCCTACGAAGACTGGGAGGCCAAAAATTATCTTATGAAATGCAAAAACAAGATGGTTCTCTTTCTTATGTAACAAAATCCTCATAAGTTCTTTCAACGTTATAGCTGTGAAAGGAGCACCCTTCCTTACGTATAAAGGTGGTATAATATCTGATGATGCGTGCAACGAAGGCGACGTTAACCATGCTATTCTTCTAGTAGGATATGGAACAGGTGAGCAGTGACATTTGTACCTACCCATAAGAAAACAAGATTGAAAAAGTATAAGAAATAATGATCAATGAGGAAGGAGTGCTCATGAACCTCCTTCCTCATGAGTGGTCTAGTGGTGGATCTATAAGTGTTATTGCATTTTTTTGTTGGTTTTGTATTCTTCTTTGTAGTAAAGGTGCACCCATATTTATGCGGTTGGTATCTAGCTTTGTGCTTGTAATGTAAACTCATAACAGCATCAAGTTATTAGTCGGACTTCAGACATATCGTGGTTGCATTCGTTTGCGGGAATAAACGAGCATCTGGTAGCAACTAACTGTGACTTTTTGCAGAAAATGGAAAACCATACTGGCTGGCCAAGAACTCGTGGAGTACAACTTTTGGTGAACAAGGTTACATGAAGTTTCCACGTGGGGATAATTATAACTCTTGTGGAGTGATGAATCAGGGCATGGCGTCTCCTATAATCGCATAAATAATACCAATAGTTTCTACGGTCACAAAAAAACTGAATTAATGCACCTAATATGTGACCCCATTTCGACATTTTAACTATTTCCTCTGAAGGATAATAAATATTTTCAGCAATGATACTGTTGTTTGTTTTCCCCGTTGTTTGAGAAAAAAACATTTTTAAAAAACTTAGGCACCACTAGTTTCTTCTGGTGAATGAAGTATTTACTTAATAATCGAAATAGATGGCAAAGGCTCGGCTTGGCAATACAATATACGTGAAATACATGTTGGAACTTTTTGTACGTGTTACGCTTTGTGTCATGTTGGCTTAGAAATTATGAATGAATTTCACCAAAAGTATCTTTATATCGGACATCCCATTGCAGCCTATAGTCTAACGTGATACCTAGGAACACCTTCTTCTTGACTAATTCCAACTTTTTTCAATTAAAATTAATGTAACAATCACTACTTTTGCTAGCGAAATTTAATAAATTTTGTTTTTTCTCGTTTCGGGATAGGTTATTACATGTTACCCAATGTATGAACTTAGTGGATTTCGATCGAGAACTTATCACACTCTAGCTTTGCTTCTGTTACTTCATTAAAATGAGTAGTACTTCGTGAAGTGTCTGCAAACAGCACTAAGTTAGTAAATTGCAAATATGATTGCAGAGAAACGGTCCCAATATATAACCCTGTGGAGCACTCATTTTCATTTCAAAGCCCTGTGACTTAGATCCGTTTACATGAACCTTTAGCTGCCAATTCTTTAAATATGATTTTAATAGACGGAACGCAGTGTGTCTAATCTCTAATGATCTTATTTTAGTAAATCTGTTTCATAATCAACGCAATCAAATGCTTTTGAGAGGTCAGAAAAGAATAGCATCCTGTGCTTTCTCCCAAGCTCGATGCTTATGTATTTGATATTTATTATCTTCATTAAAAAGGCCGCGGCGTTCGTTGTTTCAGTGAATTTTCATATCGTCGGCAAAACTAAATAGCAAAGTCTGCGTCAACTACTTCTGTCTAAAACTGGCTCTGCCGGAAAAAATATGATAATAAATAAAATGTATATTTGTTGTAAGAAGGTAGACAAAAAAATATATATCTTAAAATATAAAACAAAGTTCAATGTATACAGTCAACCTGAACTAGATGCGGCAGTGCGTTTAAAATTGGGAAGTAAATAAAATATGCTTGCGTTAGTTTAACTTCTATCGTCCCTTATTATCAAGAATTCTCAGATTATTTAAGACAATAATACCTATAAGAGACGCGTTTTATAAAACAAAATAAAATAAACAAAAAATTATCACTTAACATGTTTTCATCATCATCATCATCAGCCTGTTGTCGTCCACTGCTGGACATAGGCCTCCCCAATTGCACGCCACTGAGCTCGATGTTCAGCTCTTTTCATCCAACCACTGCCAGCCACCCTGCGGATGTCGTCAGTCCACCTAGCTGGAGGGCGCCCTACACTAACATGTTTTACGACCCCTATTATATACATGTATTCAATAAGACTACAAATAGTGTAGTAGTATTAAAAAAACAAATTGATTTCATTCAGTCCATTTCACCATAGCACCACTCGACAAATGGCAAAACACGAATTCGTCTAATATAAAATAAATAAAATAAAATCCACTAAAGTCGAATTCCTTGTCTGCAAATTATTCAGTATATAGTGCGTCAAAGATGATTTCATTAAATTACATGCACATTCATAAATGTACACAAACATGTATTTAATAATATAATTTATCGGATACTCTTTATGTATGGAATATGTGAAGGGAACTTTATAAAACAAAAATGAAAAAAGTTACTTAGTAATTATAAACATTCAGTAAAAACATAACTTGCATAGGAAAATTACTTTATTTTACAACAGGAATATTTTTTAAAATACTTCATATTACAAATGCGTATAAAAGGCCTTACTTACTTGAGGGAAATCATTGGAATTGCTACTTTGTGACAATGTCTCCCTTTGTAATAGTCTTCTGCGTTTGTTTGGCGGCGTGTGCGCAGGCAGCGTCAGTGCCAATGTTTGACCTCGAAGACGCCGAGGAACATTTTGAGCGCTTCATCCAAGACTACAACAAACAATACACAAGCGAGGAAGAGAAGCAAGCCAGGTTTGCAATTTTCAGAGAAAACTTGAAAAAGGCAAACACTTTAAATGCGCAAAGCGAACATACTAGGTTTGGTACGTAGTTGCCAATAAATCAATTTTTTTGAGTTTTGGGAGTCACTTACTGAATTTGGTCGCACAGGGAGAGGCGAGAGGGAGTGTCAGACTCTTACTGACTAAAAACCACCCTGTCCCCTCTCCTGTTCCAGTGCGCTTGCCCTTGCCCCACAACCCAATAATTGCTTGAGGTGTAAACAAATGATATATTGTATCTAAACTGTAATTACAATTCCAGGTATTACCAAGTTCATGGATCTGACTGTAGACGAATTTGTCAACCGCTATTCTTGTATACCGGCCAATTTTAACTTCACTGGACAATGTAACGTAGTGACTGATTCGCAACTCCCTAAAGTGAATGTACCGGACTCATTTGATTGGCGTCAACAAAACGTAGTTACCAGAGTTAAAGTTCAGGGTGAATGTGGGAGCTGTTATGCATTCAGTGCATCGGGTAAGTGGAATGTTTATTTTTATGCAAATGTACGTGGGTCGACCTCGACATACTCGGATGATGAGGTAGAGGAATTGTACGAAGACATTTCCAGGGCCTTATACACCACCCAAAAGGCCCACTTCAACGTTGTCATGGGATATTTCAATGCTAAAGTGGGAGTACAGACTAGCGGCGAGTCGGTAGTAGGGCCACATGGTTTTGGAAGCATGAAAGGAAACCACAGGGGGCAAATGCTCGTTAACTTCCTGGAAAAAGAGGGGCTATTTTTGATGAACTCCTTCATTAAGAAGCAGCGCCAACGGAAGTGGACGTGGCGGAGCCCCGACGCTATTACAAAAAATAAAAAAGACTTCATTATGATGGACAAGAGACGAATATTTAGAGATGTCTCAGTGATCAGAGATCATAGATTTAATACAGGAAGTGATCACTGACTTCTGCGAGACACTCTAAACATCAAATATGACTCCGAGCGTGTCCGTCTCATGAAGTCTACGCTCCGACCAAACTTGCTCCAAACCGTGGCTGGGTCTGAAACATTTCAGTTAAAACTGGAAAACCTATTCGCTACCTTGGAAACCACAAATGACACTGATATCGACCAGGAACTTGACCAAACAGTAAGTAAGATCCTCCGAGACGAAGAGACGCGATTGTGGCGGAAGTAGAATGCCGGCAGGAGCGCCGAGCTTTCGGGAGAGTGCCTACAGATAATGGAGAGGCGACGTAACAACCCGTCATTCGCTTCGTCACATCTTAATAAAAAGATCTCAAATCTGATAAGACGTGATCTTCGATGCGCCAATACCCGCCATAAAAGAAGCGATTGAGCGAAACCGGGGGTCAAAAGTCTTCAGCCAGCAACTGAATCGAAGCCATCTGACGAAGTTGACCACACCGAATGGTAATATCGTCTCTTCTAAGTCGGAAATTCTCGAGGAAGTTCGGCGTTTCTACGGTGATTTGTACACCTCAAAAGCACCGCGTCCATATCAAGACTCGGGGGATCCTAGGGCCACTTTACCGAAGAGATGCCAGAGATCAGCCAAGACGAGATTGCATAAGCTTTGGGGCAGCTTAAAAATGGAAAAGCTCCCCGGAGAGGATGGAATTACAAGGGAGCTCCTAAAGGCAGGTGGAAAGCCAGTGCTTGAGCGACTTAAAAACTTGTTTGATTCCGTTCTATTCTCGGGGAGAACTCCAAGGGCATGGGGAAAAAGTGTCGTCATTATGTTCTTCAAAGAGGGAGATAAAACCCTCTTCTGAGCCACGTCTATAAGCTGTTTTCCAGGGTCATAACAAATCGTTTCACACGAAGACTCGACGAGTTTCAGCCCCCTGAGCAGGCCGGGTTTCGAGGGGGATATGGTACCGCGGACCACATACATCCAGTGAGGCAGATTGTACAGAAAACCGAACAGTATAATCTGCCCTTATGCCTGGCAATTGTGGACTACGAGAAAGCCTTTGATAGTATCGAAACCTGGGCTGTTCTGGAGTCACTATGGTGGTCCAAGTACAGAACCAGCAATCTGAACCTATCCACCTGCATCGGGGGTAAGACAGGGGGACGTTATTTCCTCCAAACTGTTTACTAATGCTTTGGAGGATATGTTCAAGACGCTGCGCTGGAAAGGGCGGGGCCTAAATATTAACGGCAAGTATCTCTCACACTTGAGATTTGCAGACGATATTGTAATCGTGGCTGAAGCCGTGCAGGACTTACAATATATGCCGAACAGCCTGGCTGATTCCTCTGCTCGCATCGGACTCCGGATGAACTGAGAAAAAACGAAGGTGATGTTCAAAGAACATTTTCTCCCGGAGCCGATCACCATCAATGGATCTCATCTCGAGGTTGTTCAAGAGGACGTCTACCTCAGACAAACTATATAGTTCGGTAGAAACAACCTCGAGAGAGCGGCTCGTACAAGGATACAGCTTGGCAGAGTATAGGAAACTCAGTCGGGTATTCTCGTCAAAGATATCGCGAAGCCTGAAGACAAAAGTCTTCAATGAGTGCGTCCTACCAGTGATGACATACGGAGCCGAGACGTGGACACTAACAGTGCGACTGATCCACCAATTTAAAGTCGCGCAGCGAGCTATGGAAAGGGCTATGCTTGGAGTCTCTTTGAAGGATAGTATTCGAAACGAGGTGATCCGACAGAGAACTAAAGTTATCGACATAGCCCAAAGGATTAGCAAACTGAAGTGGTGACAACAGTCTGATGATGATGATGGAATGTACGTGAGTGTAGGTCTCTAATGGATGAAAGGTTCTGTTGATAATGACCTGACTCAAGAATCAATCTATATGGGACTTGAATGCTACGTGTTTATATTTTTTCTGAACCAAAACTTCTGATACAGGGGCCGTTGAGGGCCAGTATGCCATCAAAAATGGTCAACTACTAGAATTTTCTGAACAACAAACAGTTGATTGTGATAAAGGATCCGGCGGGTGTGGAGGTGGTCTTATGACTTCTGCGTTCAGGTAAAAATATATCTAGCAAATATATTTTACATTATTATACTTTCCTAATATAAATTTGTTTTGTTTTCTTAACTAAAACAAGATATTTATAGTAACAATCTTCAATGCTTTATTTCACAGTGCTTCAATTTGACTTGCTTGTCCGAACTAACGAGGTTTTACCTATGTCTTAATTAATAAAATTAATATTTGTTTTATTTCGTAGTTCCATGATCGAATTAGGTGGCCTGGAGTCAGAAACTGACTATCCTTATGTGGGTCAAGCCCAGTCTTGCCAATTCCAAGCTAGCAAGGCAGCTGTCAGACTAACTGGCTGCAACAACTACAATATCCAGTCCCAGGAAAGGCTTAAGGAACTAGTTGCCACCGTTGGACCAATATCTATTGGTAAATTTTAGAAAGACGACTTATCTTTTTATATTTTTAATAAATAATGCTTTGTTTTGTATTATTTATCTTGGATTGTATATCAATTCCTCTCATTAATTGCCTCATATTTTTAGCTGTCAAGTCTGCAGGCTTCCACTTGTATACTGGGGGTGTGATGAACGACCAAGATTGCAATACTGGAGAGGTTAACCATGCTATTCTTCTAGTGGGTTATGGAACAGGTAAGCTCATCGGGTCTTGGAATTGGAATTTTCATCTTACGTCTTACGTTTGAGATCGCCAATCCACCTTGAGCAAGTGTACCTTGAAAAAGGTGTAGTACAGTCTTTCCGTCCAAATATAATTTAGGTGTCTTCAAGGCTAGAGTGAATAGGCTCTTAATAAACTAGTGCGCCTTACCACCAACGATTGCATCACTGCTTACCATCAGGTAGGATTCGCAGTCAAGCACTAGTTTATAGCAAGTAAAAAAAAAGTACCTTTACCTTCTCCATGTGAGAAGAAGCGTTTGCTTAGCAATAGGCGTTTTTGGTCTGATGATTACAGCTTACTGTGTCTTTTTCCAGAAAACGGAATGCCATACTGGCTGGCCAAGAACTCGTGGGATACAGTTTTTGGTGAAAATGGCTACATCAAGTTTCCGCGTGGAGATAATTACAACTCGTGTGGAGTGATGAATCAGGCTATGGCGTCTCCAATAATAGCATAAAATGTTTCAGAATTTCTTTCAATCTTTTATCTGTCTTGTCCAAAATAAATGAACTTTAACTTTGTTATGCATATCTATGCACATGCACATTGAAGTCAGTAAAAAATGTTATTACGTTAATTGAATCTGTCTTATGACTCTTAAAAGGCGTTTATAATCTTTTCTAACTAATAAATATGTTAAGCAATGTTTCTTGTTTTTTTATACACCGTAATTTTTATACAAAAACAAAGATTGTCTAATGAAAGAAGATCGCCCAGGGCCGGGAGGGAGGGAGTGTCAGACTCTTACTGACAAAAACCCCCCTGTTCCTTCTCCTGCTCTGGGTCGAGGTCGCGGTGCCTCATTGCGCTTACCCCGCAACCCCGGCTAAACATCAGCCCTATAGGGCGCCGTCTGTGGTGGCCTATTGGCTCTATGAGGCGCGCGCGGAACGCTACGCGCCGTACGCTTGGATATGGCTCTGGTCGGACCTTACTCGCCATCCGCAGACCCGCGCTTACGGTGGCCTAAAAAGAAACTGCACTATCCCTGGTTTGAACCCGCAACCAACTCAATGCCAAACCGTAGTGTACACCACTAGACTATGACGCTATGAAGTTGATGGTAAGATCCTGATCAAAATCATGATACTGATCTATTTCAAAACATCTCCACTTAATGCTCGACACCGATACGCTACTTGTTCTAAAACCATAGATGAACCATAGATCTGTGTTTTCTAATTGTCACTCATCCATTCTCCGATAAGTGGATTTGGTTACGAGTCGCATCTTTTTTTTAAAAAAAAAGCCATTGCCCCACACCATGATTTTCTCCTGTGTACAATTACACATACACATCAGACCCGGCGCAACTACTTATGGATTACATAAAGTGTTGTTCCATGCGGGAATCGAACTCGTTGGGCAGCCACCGCACCAGACGTGCAGTCAAAATTTGTCGCTGCTTATGATTATGTGCCCCGTTGTGTCCTAAACCTGGTCAACCAGGAGATAAAATTAGAGGAGTTACATCAGTGATGGTAGTGAAAGGCGCTCCCAGTAGCTAATCAAGAAATTCTAGTCAGACTTGACTCTCTTCTCCACTTGTAGTCTAAAATTCTTGTAGTAATTATTAAACCTAAAAAATTTTACAATACAAACACACAAACTAAAGTAATTTACAAGTCGTTTAAAATTGAGCAGGTGACTTCCATCATAGGTATCTTGTCAAAGTCGAAGGTGAGATTCTTTTTTTGCGAAGCACCTGATGGTAGGCAAAAAGAATAACATTAATCATGGTATATTATATGAAACACACTCGGACGTGACAAAAGAAAACAAATAGCCCAAGCAGCAATGAGCTGAATCAAAAACATATTGCAAAACAAAAAGGTTTTTTATAGAATAGATCAGCAAACGAGCAAACGATTACCTGATGGTAAGCAATCAGCGTCGCCCATGGACACCCGTAACACCAAAGGAGTTACGAATGGGTTTCTGACCTTTTAGGGATAAGAATTGGGAAGGGATGCGAGGAGGGTTCTCCCTCCTCGCATCCCTTCCCAATTCTTACCTCCGGGCCTCCGGTAACCTCACTCACACGGCGAAACACAACGCTATGGTTGTTCTACGCCGGTATTCTGTGAGGCCGTGGTATAGCTCCGGTCGAGCCAACCCACTCTCTCACACTTAAAAAGGTCACCAAAATGAAACTAAAAGGGAAATTGTTTTTTTCTATCTTCCTTTATTGTACAAATTTGTAGATATTATAAAAAAGTTGACGCTTTCGAAAGTTAAAGAATGCTCCGAAAACCATGGATTGGGAAATGGCTTTAGAGACGCCATGTTGTCCTCACTTTCCGCCTGACGCAGATACTTACCTGGCGCGGCAGCTTCAGTAGGTTCCTGTTTCGGATTCGGCGGGAAAAAATGCTCAAATGTCGTGCGAACACGATGGAGCATAGAGTGGCGGCGTGTCGCGCCCGGCCTTAGTCGAGGCCATGGTACGGAGCGAGAAGAACTGGGACGCCGTCTACAGTACGGCCGACATATCTTGGCGAGTCTGAAGTTAGCCGTTTGCCTGCGCAATGGATCTTTTAGGAACAAAATCATGTACTACACAGCTTATCGGTTAACTTCAGACTCGCCAAATTACGTTGGCGGTATTGTACTTTCCTAGAGGCAGTTATGCTCGCAAAGAAGGAGGCGGAAGCGCGTGAAGGAGCTATCGGAAATCGAGAGATGATCTCTGACTACCGTGAACGCGAGTCTGCGGACGATGTGTAAAGGTAGCTCGCCGCCGGACCAGAACCATACCTGAGCATACGGCGCGTAGCGTTTTACACGCGTCTCAGAGAGCTAAAATATCCACACAGAAGGGGCCCTATAGGGCTGATATTAAGCCAGGGTTGCAGGGTAAGCGCAATGAGGCATCGCGACCTCGGCCTAGAGCAGAAGAAGGAAGGGGAGTTTTTAGAAAGAGGAGTATGACACTTCCTTTCGCCTGACCCTGGCCGAAAGAAAACATTTGGTGTTGATTATTTTTCCCAAAAGAACGCCCACCCAGCTGATGTTGCGACCTAGTAACCACTCCTATTATAAAAACCTATTACAAAAACCTCTACTGGACTCTATTACAAAAATCTCGACAGAAGCCAGCCAGTCAGCCAGGGTAGCGGAGCAAGGGCAAAAAGCAGGAGAAGTATTCTCCTGCTTTTTGCCCCCTACTACGGTTTTAGTCATTAAAATTCTGACATTCCCGTCCGCCCCAGCCTGGGCGGGAGAAGTCATTACATGATTTTCCCGTAAAAGAACAAGATTGAGGGAATAACACACAAAGCCATAAAGGTACTCAAGAAAAGACTTTCAGTAATGACACAAACGAACGAGAAGAAATGGAAAAGCCATCCTTCCGGAAGACCGGAGTGAAACGGTAGCCACACAAAAAACCGGTCTGAAAAAAATGCGTGGTCTTTCGCCTTGTGAGTGAGGTTTCCAAAGGTAACTAACCCTACTCCCCATTCCTTTGTCACAAATTGCTTAGCCTTAAAGGATCGGTAACACAGTGACCCTGGTGTTGTAGATGTTACCTATCGCTGCATAAGGCACGCACTTCGCATAAGGCAAGATGTTATTGAGTTTACAATAATAAGAATTATTTTATTGAACTATCAAACCCCATTTTCTCAATCAGTCTTCCGATTATTCCCTCTACGTTTCTGATTTTTTTTTCATGAATATCTTTTCGTAAATATAACAAAAAAGTACTGTAAAAATTGGTCCAGGCCAGGCATTATTGAGTTATGCACTTGCCTACACATTTTGCGATTCATTTTTAAATACAGATTACGCGCATACTGTTAAACATTTCAACAAATGACTTAACATAAATTGTTTAGGTAAAATGTTATGTGTGCGATTCGTAGGAATGAAATTTGATAATAAAAGAGAAAAAATGTAAGTACACATAAATTAAAAAAATAACTTAGTTACAAATATTTAGTTAGGTATTAAACATTTATCTAAAACATTTTTTTTTTCATATCTGAGAAATATTTTTCAAATACTTCATGTAACAAATGCATATAAAATGCTCTAGTTTCTTGACGAACTTTAACAGAATTGTGATTGCCAGCTCGGACAATGTCTCCTTTTGTGATAGTCTTCCTCGCTTGTTTGGCGGCTTGTGCGCAGGCAGCGTCAGTGTCAATGTTTGACCTCGAAGACGCCGAGGAACATTTTGAGCGCTTCATCCAAGACTTCAACAAACAATACACAAGCGAGGAAGAGAAGCAAGCCAGGTTTGCAATTTTCAGAGAAAACTTGAAAAAAGCAAACATTTTAAATGCACAAAGCGAACATACTAGGTTTGGTACGTAGTCATGAATAAATTCTTGACATATAAACATATTTTGTATGTTTTGTTAACTTTAATTACAATTTCAGGTATTACCAAGTTCACGGATCTCACTGTGGATGAATTTGTCAGCCGCCATACTGGACTAAACGTAAATTTTAATTTGACTGAATCTTGTAAGGTAGTGACTGAAGCGGACCTCCCTAAAGTGAATGTACCGGACTCATTTGATTGGCGTGAAAAAAACATAGTTACCAGAGTTAAGGACCAGGGTAGTTGTGGGAGCTGTTATGCATTCAGTGCAACCGGTAAGTTAGATGTACACTTTTCAATGTTGAACCTTATCTCGTAATTGTGAGGACCACTCGGTGGATACATTAATATTAATATTCTATATATTATTTCGTTTTTTTTTTTAGTTCGTGGCTTCTGCCTACCGTTTCATTCTAAGATTACTTTGACTTCACTGACAAATGGTGAAGAAAAACATCGTGAGAAAACCGGGATTATAATTTACTCCTAGCATAAAATTTGAAATCACCTATCCACCTTAAGCGTTGCTCGTACAGTGTGGTTTGGTTAAGCAATGCTCAACAAACCTTCTTTGCGTGAGAAGAGACTTTTGGTGAAGATGTTATGATGTGTGATGTTCAATAATGATTTCAAAATGTTCCAGGAGCCATTGAGAGCCAGTATGCCTTGAAGAATGGTAAGCTTGCAGAATTTTCTGAACAACAAACAGTAGATTGTGATAAAGGATCCGGCGGGTGTGGAGGTGGTTTAATGACTTCTGCGTTCAGGTAACAATATATTGTTTTCTTACTTAATATAAATTCGGTTTTATTATTAATAATAAAATGTCTTTATAAATAAAACTCTCGTTTCGTAGTACCATAATGGAAATGGGCGGTTTGGAGTCAGAATCCGACTACCCTTATATTGCAAAATCACAGTCTTGCCAATTCGACGCTGGCAAGGTCGCGGTCAAACTGTCTGGATGCACCAATTACAAACTCAAGTCACAGGAAAGGCTTAAGGAACTAGTTGCCACCGTTGGACCGATCGCTATTGGTAAACTATAGAATGAAGTTTTATATTTACGTGTAGATTTCTGACCAAAAATTCCTAACGTATTCGTACAAACATTATCATAATTAATTTTTTTGATTAAATCTGTGTTGTCGTGGGTGCGGTTACAAATATACAATTTCATGTACACATGACACCCAGACCCGGCACAACAATTTGTGGATCACACAAAGAGTATTTGCGTGCGGGAACCGAACCCGCGACACGTTGCACGGCAGCCAAATGCCCAGCCACCGGACCGCACCTATCGCATTCAATGACAATTGCATCCCAATTAACGATTTTCTCCCTTGTTTATAGCTGTGAAAGCATCAAACTTCCAAGGGTATCATGGCGGCGTGATGAAAGATGACTTATGCAATTACGGCCAAATTAACCATGCTATTCTTTTAGTGGGATATGGAACAGGTAAGCCATATCGAATATACTGGTATCCAAACTAATATTATAAATGCGAAAGTAACTCAGTCTGTCTGTGTGTCCTTTCTTCACGTCTAGACTACTAAACAGATGTCTGTGAAATTTGGTAGAAACATAGTTTGGAACTGGAGAAAGGACCTATAGGGTAGTTTTTATACCATTCCGCGCGAACGGAGTTGTGGGCAAAAGCTAGTAGACTATAAATAAAAAAGCTACAAAATATAGAGGAGAGAAAAACAATTCGATTAGTATTCATGTAAGGTCTATAAGGCTAGGAGTAGGCACAGTTGCATTATAAGTTTTGTTGTATCTTTTTGAAAGTATCCTTCGTTGTAGTATAGACGCTCACCTAAATACAGGCTATTCCCTAAATGGATACCCCAATCCCACTAAGTGCTATTAAAGAAATCTCATAATAGTCCGTTCTCAATTTCCAAGAACAGACTCTTGCTACACTGCTGCCGGTGTCCATGGGCGGCATTGATTGCTTACTATCAGGCGATACGCCTGCTCTTTCGCATTCATCATATTTCTCGCCCTGGATGGGTTAAGAAGGAGTGTCAGATACTGACTATGAACCAACTCATTGGTGATTTTGATACGCTGCTCTGGCTGAGTGGTTGTAATTATATTGGGAATAACTACTAATGGTGACTTGGTGACTTTTTGCAGAAGATGGAAAACCGTACTGGCTGGCCAAGAACTCTTGGGATACAACTTTTGGTGAAGATGGCTACATCAAGTTCCCACGTGGGGATAATTATGACTCGTGTGGGGTCATGAACGACTTTATGGCGTCACCTATACTGGCATAAAATTAAACGTATCAGGATTTCCTTTGATCTTGAGGCAAAGACAAAAGGCGACATAAATAAATAATCTCCTATTAAAATCTTAGCATCAATTCTTTGGTTTTTTTTTAATCTATTCAATTAAATAAACTGACAAAGGTTAGGATTAATATCAGAGTATTGCACAAAATAGCATACTATAATTTAATAATAAATTAAAATGTGAAAGTGCCATGCTTCAGCACGAATAGGTGGATTTTACCAAAATAATATGGCCTCACAGTGAACCAGCGTTACTCAAACCACAGCTGTAAATACTTCCACCCATTACCAATACTCAAGTGTCCTACCACCAAATTTCCAAGCACTTTTAGCTCGTACCGCATTGGCATCTCCTCTGTTGTTGCGAATGTTTAAAAAGTCAAAGGTGCAATTAAAAGTCCCTGTTCTTACTCCTGCTCTAGGCAGAAGCCGCGGAGCCTCATTGCGCTTACCCCGCAACCCTGGCTAAAAATCAGCCCTGCCAGGGTTGGTAAGCACAATGAGGCACCGCGACCTCGGCCTAGAGCAGGAGTAGGAACGGGGGGTTTTTGGTCAGTAAGAGTCTGACACTCCCTCCTGCTCGACGGTGTGCGGCGGTCTGTGGCGTTCTATTGGCTAATACCTAGTACGATAACTAAGGGAACAGCAGTTTCCTTTTCTATGAACTTGATAATTTTGTATTATTGATGAGATTTTAACATCTATGTGCTATGAAAGAGGTACTATTTGTATAGCCTTGAATCCAATAAAAAATAAAACTGCGTTTAAAAACCACCGAGTAACAATAATGCTAAACTCTATTAAGTAAAAAGATACTATTTATTAACGACTGGCGCCAACATTTTATTTTAATATTTATTTTAAAAAATGCCTGTCAGTTTAACTCGCTATTATTGGTTTTACAATCGATACTATACGGCCAAACCTATCGAAATAATATCCTTAACAAAAAGATTAAATGAATGGAAAAGTTAACTGTCATCAAACGCCTACAGATTTACAATTGAAAGCCAAAAATATTAATTTCATTTCTACCAGTTTTCAGAATATAGTATTACCAAGCAAAGTTAACAAAGAAACAAAATCTAATATAATTTTCGATATCAATTCAAATGATATCAAACGCATTAAAACGAGGCAGCATTATGTCGGTACAAAGTTTAATTTAACTCACAATACACTTTCAAGTAACAACGCCATTATTGGCTAAACATCGTCCAAAGAACCCGCTCTTGTGTCAGTTTCATTTGATATTTCCATTAAAATTCAATTCCGAGACTCATCTTCGGTAACAATAGGAATATTTCACAAAGATTCGTGAATGATGGCTACTGTTGCACACCTACTAGTGTTTTGTGTAATGAGACAGTTTGTCCTGAGAAAGAGCAAATTTCACGCTGTTCCATGTATGGTGTAAATCCAGAATTCTGGGGAATTTATTGTTGCTCGTTCATTGATGATTTTTTTAACCGCTCCGCCCCGTCGTCCATTGTGGCTGGCTGTGGCGGCGGATACTAAATTCTCTCACATCTTTGGGGTTCTCTACGAAAAGTTTGGACACTCTTTACTACGTCTGAACATTTACGAAACTTTCCGAAGTGAAAACTGATTTTTAAAATAGTGTTCATTTGTTTAAAATGTCAATGTCACTTCAATTTGTTGTAACACAATTTCAAGATCATTTCTTTTTCAAATGTCGTCCGACTAAGACGTTAATTCCAGTAAACAGTATTAACACATTCAGTGCCCCCGACGCGTATGTGCGTGCGAGGAAACGCACATACGCGTCGGGGGCACTGAATGTGTTAATTAATATAGAAGCTAGGATCAAACTTTTTTTACAAAAATTAAAGAAAAAGAATACTTCACCGAAATAACTCAAATACGGAACCGTCATAACTCCTATCCTCTACCCGCTGTTCTTAACAATGCGTCTCCATTGTAACGTTTGTATTTTAATACACACGACAAAATCGGTATAGATAAATAATGTATAGTTTTTTTCGGTCATTTGTTTGTGAATGGCCGGTTCCAGCGAGTCTGGCGTACTGCCATACTGACGTTCATTCATCATCAGCGTACAGCCGAAGAATTTATCCGTCACATTATGTACCACAAAAGTCCATTGTATCTATTTTATTTGGTCCATATGTATTGTAGGTGTTTTTGGAAATTATTTGAGTGGAGCGGCCAGTCCTGGGATTTTTAATGTGGATTATATTCTTTGTGAATTTGCCGATGTGTAGGCTGAAAAAATGTGTGGAATTGTATTTTTGCAAGAACTTTTTGGTACATATTTAAATTAGAAGAGTATGCTTCGTTAAGAATTAATTTATGATGGGAATGTCATTACTCAGACAGAGCTTCCCTCATTTCTATACTAATTTAAACTTTATAACAAGAGTAATTAGTATCATCATTGCAATCGATGGCTTCAAAAAAACGTCTCAAATCACTGTTAGATGCGATCGTAGGATATATCTATGCACATGCACCTTCCCTATTCATATCAACATTATCATACGCATCCGGTGCCCGCCCACCCGACACTTCGGTAATGTTATCCGTACATTGCTTACAATGTGTTACACCTTACGTTTTTTATTATTGTAAAACGATATTGTAGTGTGCTTTGTTATTATGGTGTTATTATATATTGGTGTCTAGTAGGTGTTTAGTGGTCAGGTGTTAGTGAATTCCTTTGACACGTGATTGATCATTTAGCTATTTCCTGCACTAGCTACTTCTGTGCGGTTTCGCTCTCTTCCCGACTTCTGTTGGTTATAAGATGTAAGTTTTCTCGATTAACCAATGGTCGGCATAGCATATCTAAGCGAGACATAATATATTTTCTATTATGTCTCGTATATCGGTGGACAAGATGTTAATGATTTTTCCAAAATAAAAGAATTTGAATTCGAACCAGCAGTTTCAGCTATTAGTGCATTTACCCCGAACAAACTGTTCAGTTTATAAAATTAGTTTAGAATTAATTGTTGTAAAATTGTTTTTTAGGGCATTGGTTGTTAAATTTAGTAATAAAAGTTTGAAAGGGAGGTTTTGAAGTCTTGGTCACTGGTTCGATGCTGAACTAAAATAAGTACTAAGAACGTTAACACAAGTCTATGAATTACCGACTTCATTGAGAAAAATAATAGTTTTTTTTAAATGTGCCGCTAGCCTTTCCTACGATTGGTAGGTCTACGTGGTGCTCAGAAATTAAACGGTAGTCCTAGTATGCTAAACTCTGGTCCAGATACAAGGATATTTTGCGGAGACCGGTTGTCATACTCATTAAATATCATTCTGGACACAACTGCCGTATGGTGGGAATGTTTTTTTGAAAATCATCCGGTATGAATCAAACCCGGAGATTCCATATTCCTTATTCATTTTAGCGCAACAATGTCTTTTGTTATCGTCACTAAGCAAACTTTGACTTCTAATAATACCTACACAAAACGAAATCAAGTTTATTAAGAAAACAACGTTAAACTAAAAAGGGTGCTTATCATATTTATCAATGTCTGGTCACCCCCTTAAATATAGGCGTCGGACCGTGTCAGATCCTAACCAAACTGCCCGCGGCAAAGATTAGGAAACGTGTTACATCTACTGTCCTACTCTAAACGGTTTGTATAAAGAGAGAGAGGTAGATCATGCGACAGGGTTTGAGCAGGTTTGGAAAAAATCCAAAGTTACTTGTTCGACAGGTTATAACAAGGAACGTGGGTGCCATTGTGCATTTAGTAACCGATTGTTATGGACTTAAGGAATTGAGGGTCGCCCTGAATGGAGCAGGACATTAGGAAGCATCATGTGAATGATAGAGAAAATTGTTCGGTGTGTATGTTGATGACTTTCTGACCTTCGTAAGCAAGTAAATTGTAGATATTGTGAAGAAGTTTCTCTAAAGGTCGGTGTTTTATGTTATATTATGGGATATATGACTGGTACATGAACGTGATAAATATGATCCGGTCGTAGGTTAATTGTTATTTATCATTGTCTGAAATTTTAAATATTGATTAGTTTACTTAGTTATTGCTTGTTTGAATATAAATTTTGATCGTGTTTTAAATTAGGAAATCGATTGAAATAAAATAGTATTCTCTGGATGTTTCATAGTCTTGACGTTTCTAGAAACCAACAATACATAACACGCACAATCCACCAAAAATCTTATTGTATCTTATATCTTAATTGTCCGACAATTTCACAGGACCCAATCACAAATAAGCTTGAACATATACCGTAATTGCTATAAAAAACAACGATCCTTTGAAGTTTACACCTTTACAATCGGTCCAGTGAATCCAAAGCCAGTGGACACCAAACCTCAAGAGCTCTTATAGGTATGCACAGAGGGGAGTTCCAAATACGCCATAGATTTTTCCATACAGATCAAAGCCTGTATGTAAAGCCACTTGCCTCTAAACGCCACTCATACAGCTTTGATTCTCTCAATGGAGCCTATTATAGCAAACGTTGTTCGTGACTTATTTCAATTTGATCGTTTGAAGGCCCTAATAATAAAATCCGATCCATTTTTGGTATAAATTCATCTAAGTAATCTTCATCTTTATTAGGATTAATTTGTAAATGTAATATTTCTTTAGGTTTATTTTTAAATTCATTTGGAATTAACGCGTCTGTATTACGTTTTATTTACATATCCGCATTATGTGTTTCATTGATGTATTTTTTATCTATTTTAAGATTGTTTTCTGTTCTAAAAATATACTTATTTTCTTATTAGTGTATTCTACTTTTGTGAGACATTCTAAATTATTTATTATGTTTTCGGCTTACTCACGTAATAATTTGACGAGATACTCGACTAGTTTCAAGCCATGCTAGAGGCCCATATTCATGAGCAGCATTCCGCGACACGCGACTCGGCGACCGTCGCGCGGCGAGAGTAGCAGCGCGACGGTCGCCTAATAACTGATAATAAATAACTTATTTTCTTTTTCAATATT